GAGAGAGCGAGAGAGAGAGAGAGAGAGAGCGAGAGAGAGAGACAGGGTCACATCACAGTGGAGTCAGCTGTCTTAACCGTGGCTTGTGTACTGCAAACACATACCAGCTTCATCACTGTGTCTGTCATGTGACTCTGTTCCCCTTTCGGGCTCTGTCTTTACATTTATTTTGAAAGATGAAGCTCGTGATTATGGTAAGGGGCGTTACATTTCCGACGAGTGCTTGCGGTGTTCGGCCAATCACAATGCACTGGGTCAGCTGGCCAATCAGAGCAGACTGCGCTTGTCGGAAGGAGGGACTTTGTAGAAAACGAAGCGTTTGAGAGAGGCGGGGCATAGAGGACCTACAATAATTTACAGTATTTGAAAAATAATGCGTTTTTTGAACATTAAAGCATGTCAACATATTTTGTCACACCAAGTACACTAAATAATAATCTTTAAAAAAGCATCATATGATCCCTTTAATGGTAATATGTACCATTTAGAGGTAAATATGGTACAGAGATGTACCTTTTAGCTTTTGTATCATAGGGTCCCATTGCAGTGACAGTTCTGTGCCTTTATTTTCTGAGAGTGTATGGAAAATAAGAGTTTTACGTACCTAAAGCTCATGATCTTTTATATAAACTCAAATGTGAATGTCTGTGTCAACCTTATATCTGGACCATAACCATTTTTTTAGAAGCAAAATCAATTTCTGAAGAGCATAGATTGTCGAATTCAGCTTTCTTACAGGGTGGAGGTGGGCAGGGAAGCCAGGCTGTCTTTATTCTCCTCCAGAAAAGCGCTACATGAGGCAAAGGTGCAGTAGAAACTGGAGGAAAGCCCAGCGATGTCAGTGGAGATATAGGGCAGCACGCCAGGAGTGGCCTGGTTGTAGTAAGAAATCTGAGAGAAATGCATACGTAAGCATGTAAACCATACGCACTTAACCTTCAGTACTTTAACACCTACGTGGCAGCACCAGGGACCACTCTAAGCAGTTTCTAAACATGAGTTATAAACAGTGTTATTGGCTAATGTACATGCACATTATTTCAGTAAAAGAGATTGCTACATTTAAAGCCATGTTCATTCTTGAACTTTGACTCATTCACTCATTCAGTATAAGTGTCCATTAGGCTTTCTGTGTATTTATTACCTTAGTGAAAGAGTTTTCCTCCTCCCAGATACTGAACCCAGCACACAGCACCTCTCCTCTGTTGTAGTCTTCAGTGGGAGGGTACGCAGGCAGGGTCACAGAACGCAAGGCAATCATATAAGGGTCTCTAAAAGTGACAAAGATGAAATAACTTATTTTGTTCTTTGGAAATACACAAGACACAATATAGAGATTTTGTAGGAGTTTAAGGTTTACCCAGAATCACAAGGGCGCCTCCTGGAGGCCAGGAGGATAAAGTCCTGGACTTTGCCTCCTTTAGTCACAGAGGGGGTGACAACTTGGTAGATGGTGTCGTCTTCATGTGAGTCAGTTATCACTTCACACTCTCTGTATTAAGGCATATTGCGTTCTACGTTAAATCAAGTAATTTGAAACTGTGGCTGATCATTTTATTTTATCTGCCAGCCATTGTAACAAACACCAAAGACACTTGTAAAAGTAACATTTCATTTAAATTTACATTGCAGCAAAAAGTTGACCAAAAAGTGTTCATTTATAGATTTTAATGTTTTTTTATTAATTAAAAAACTCTGTTAAAAGTAATAGGATTTAATGTTTTTGAGTCTCATGTTCACCAAGGTTGCATTTATTTTATCAAAAATACAGTACAACAGCAATATTTTTAAATATTACAACTATTTTTTTAAATGTAATAAATTCTTGTGATGGCAAAGCTGAATTTACTCCAGTCTTCAGTGTCACATGATCTTAACAAAAACAAACAAAAAACATTATGATATGCTTATTAGGTGCTCAAGAAACAAACAATGTTTCTAATTATTATCAATGTTGAAAACAGGTGTACTACTTTTTATATACTTTTTAATATTTTTGTGGACATTGTGATACATTTTTAGGATTAATAGAAATCCCAAAAGAACAGCATTTATTTGAAATAGAAATAATAATAAAAAAAGAATACTATAAACTCCAAACTTTATATTTTAATTTAAAAAATGGCTGTTAAATGTCTGTCGCTTATAAAATTCAATTAATTTTTTTTTGTTATATAAAATGCATTTGACATACTGGTAGTGGTGGTCCCATGCCTTCCTTCGCCTTAGATCAGACAGTAACAGAAACACCTGCTCGGCCGCCACAGCTACATGAGTCTCCACCTTAAAGCACAACATTTGGTTCTCCTCCAGTGTGTATAAACTCACCTGGGCACAATGTTTCAGCTCATTAATTTCCCTCAAGCATCTACAACATTTTTGACTGCTCAAGTCCCCCATGTAATCTCAAAAAGACAAAATGGAAAATTTAAGTGCACAAAACTTATCCACCTTTTTCTTCTCTGAGGTTAAGACCCAGTTAGTCCGGGCAGCCAACATCTTCAGTGCCGAAACATTATTGTAACTGAGGTACATCTGCCAAGACATGGATTAGTCACATGGTCCAACAAAGCAGGTTGAGCAAATCCATGAGATGTATAGCTACTAGAACAGGTTAATATACCTGGTTACTTGGGTCCCAGGGAACCGAGAGAGGAACCTCGCTTTGTTTGCAGGATATTATGTACTTCCTGTAAGAGGAGAGCATACTCATGTGATCTAGTGTCCCATGCTGGTCTGCTATGCAGGAATTTTTATAGCTGTAAAGTTAACTTTGAATATGACATGCAGCCAGAGCTTATAAATAGGCGTATGATATCAAAAGAATATGGCATAACCTGTTATAATAGACAAAATCTTAAGAATCCTACCTGTCAAGGCGGATTTTCTTTCTGGCTATGGCTTCCTGAAAGCGTCTTTTACCATCCTAAAAAGACAGGATAAGAAGATAATGATTTGTAATTGAAATAATAAGATTCCGTTTTTAAAACTCAGTGTAAAGCAAGCACTGCATATCCCATTCATTTTGTTTCACCCTCTTGAACTCCATCAACAAGTTAAACTCTTCCACCATGTGAGGGATTCCAGGAATGTTACAGCTCACCACAGGCTCAGGCCGTATCCTTGGCAACGTGCATGGCTTCCTGTCATTGTCCAAGACCTCAAAGGTCATGAAGGCGGTGTTGATGTGTCGCAGGGGCTCTCCACCCTGATAGGCCTCCGCACACACTCCCACCTCCATACTGGAATAGCACACACGAAATACCAGTTGTTCAGGTTGCTCAAAGATAAATCAGGCTTCCATGATTCATGGATGTAAGTGATACTGAACCATAGCTTTTACTGTTTATAATATAGGTATATACTATATTATATTTCACTATATACTGTTTTTAAGTCCTTAGTCTACATAGTGGTACTGATCCATAGCTTTTATAATCCAATAAAACAAATATGATAAACAAATCTAATATTAAAATATATACATTTTATAAATATTATATTTTTATACTTTATATATTTAAATATAACCGTTAAAAGATTGGGTTCGGTCTCTTATGCTCACTCAGGCTGTTTTCTATTTGAATATATTTTTAAAATGTAATTTATTCCTGTGATGCAAAGCTGAATTTTCAGCATCATTACTCCAGTCCTTTTTTTATGATTCTTTAATGAATAGAACGTTCAAAAGAACAGCATTTTTTGAAAGATTAAATTTTCTTACAATGTAAAAGTCTTTACTGTCATTGATCAATTTAATGTGTCCTTACTGAATAGAAGTAACTTTTTAAATATTTTCTTTAAAAAACAAACTTTTGAATGATAAATATATACAGCCTCAGGCATCCCAGTGGTCCACAATTTTTTCTTGATATAGACGTACCTTTTTTTGAAAGCATTGTTTACAATTGCCTTCAACACCAGCCTGTCTCCAATGTGGGACGGCCCACGAAAGTGGAACATGTCTATGCTCCGCAGAGTTGGGTGAGCATTACACAAACGACTAGAAGAAAAAGCATATAGAGTATGACACACCAATGGTTTCCTTGCGTATGCATTTAAATATCTTTTTTTATCATCAGATTTGACTGTAGTAAAATAGGGACTGTACACCTGGCAGAGATGGTGGCTACATTCTCCATCCAGGCCATGATTTGTCCACCAAACGTGCTGACCTGGTGATTGGCATGGGGCGGGAGCACCAGCTCGACGCTTTCTACCCGAGTCCGCTCCGCAGGCACCGCTTCCTGGTAATCTAGACACTCACTCACTGACAAACAGATAGAGCACCACTTATCAGAGTGACTGCGTCTTCCAGTCTATTTATTCTACACACTTCAAACCACGTGACCCTTTGTAAG